CATTGAATTTATAAATTGCTTTGGGCAGTATGGCCATTTTTACAATATTGATTCTTCCTAACCATGAGCGTGGAATGTTTTTCCATCTGCTTGTGTCTTCTCTTATTTCATTGAGCAGTGGTTTGTAGTTTTTCTTGAAGAGATCCTTTACTTCCTTTATTAGTTGTATTCTTAGGTATTTTATTCTTTTTGTAGCAATTGTAATGGCAGTTCATTCTTGATTTGGCTCTCTTTAAGTCAGTTATTGGTGTATAGGAATGCTTGTGATTTCTGCACATTGATTTTGTATCCTGAGACTTTGCTGAAGTTGCTTATTAGGTTCAGGAGATTTTGGGCTGAGACACTGGGGTCTTCTAAATATACAATAATAATAATGTCATCTGCAAATAGAGACAATTTGACTTCCTCCTTTCCTATTTGAATACCCTTTATTTTTTTTTTCTTGCCTGATTGCTCTGGCTAGAACTTCCAGTACTATATTGAATAGGAGTGGTGAGAGAGGACATCTTTGTCTAGTGCCAGATTTCAAAGGGAATGCTTCCAGTTTTTGCCCATTCAGTACGATATTGGCTGTGGGTTTGTCATAAATAGCTTTTATTATTTTGAGATGCCATCAATATCTAGTTTATTGAGGGTTTTTAGCATAAAGGGCTGTTGAATTTTGTCAAATACCTCCTCTGCATCTACTGAGATAATTATGTGATTTTTGTCTTTGGTTCTGTTTATGTGGTGGATTATGTTTATAGACTTGCGTATGTTGAACCAGCCTTGCATCTCCAGGATGAAGCCTACTTGATTGTGATGGATAAGCTTTTTGATGTGCTGTTGCAATCAGTTTGCCAGTATTTTATTGAAGATTTTTTCATCTATGTTCATCATGGATATTGGCCTAAAGTTTTCTTTTCTTGTTGAGTCTCTGCCAGGTTTGGGTATCAGGATGTTGTTGGTCTCATAAAATGATTTGGGAAGGATTCCCTCTTTTTGGATTGTTTGGAATAGTTTCAGAAGGATTGGTACCAGCCCCTCTTTGTATGTCTGGTAGAATTTGGCCGTGAACCCGTTTGGACCTGGGCTTTTTTTGGTCAGTAGGCTATGATTTGTTGCCTCAACTTCAACCCTTGTTATTGGTCTAATCAGGGTTTCAACTTCCTCCTGGTTTAGGCATGGGAGGGTGCAAGTGTCCAGGAATCTATCTATTTCTTCCAGCTTTACTGTTTTATGTGCATGGAGTTGTTTGTAGTAATCTCTGATGGTAGTTTGTATTTCTGTGGAATCTGTGGTGATATCCTCTTTATCGTTTTTTATTGCATCTATTTGATTCTTCTCTCTTTTCTTTTTTATTAATCTGGCTAGTGGTCTGTATATTTTGTTGATCTTTTCAAAAAAGCGGCTTCTGGGTTTATTGATTTTTTGAAAGGTTTTTTGTGTCTCTGTCTCCTTAAGTTCTGCTCTGATTTTAGTTATTTCTCGTCTTCTGCTAGGGTTTGAGTATTTTAAATCTTGCTCCTCTAGCTCTTTCAATTTTGATGCTAGGGTGTAGATTTTAGATCTTTCCTTGCTTCTCATGTGGGCATTGATTGGTATAAATTTTCCTCTAGACACTGCTTTAAATGTGTCCCAGAGAATCTGATATGTTGTTTTTTTTGTTCTTGTTGGTTTCAAAGAACATCTTTATTTTTGCCTTCTTTTCATCATTTATCTAGTCAACATTCAAGAGCCAGTTGTTTTGTTTCCATGAAGTTGTTTGTTCTGAGTTAGTTTCTTAATTCTGAGTTCTAATTTGATTGCACTGTAGTTTGAGAGACTGTTTGTTTTGATTTCCATTCTTTTGCATTTGCTGAGGAGTGATTTATTTCCAATTATGTGGTCAGTTTTAGAGTAGGTGCCACGTGGTGCTGAGAAGAATGTATATTTTGTGGATTTGGGGTGGAGAGTCTGTAGATGTCTGTTAGGTGTGCTTGGTCCAGATCTGAGTTCAAGTCCTGGATATCCTTGTTAATTTTCTGTCTTGTTAATCTGTCTAATATTGACAGTGAAGTGTTAAGTCATCCTTTTTGGGCTGGTTTCTTCCCATCTTTGTGGATTTGTCTACCTGGGGTTTTTGTAGTTGACTTTTGGATGGGGTCTCTGAGTGGACGTCCTTTTTGATGTTGATGAAATCATTTCTTTCTGTTTTTTAGTTTTCCTTCTAACAGTCGGGACCCTCTACTGTAGGACTGCTGGAGGTCCACTCCAGACTCTGCTTGCCTGGGGATCACCTGTGTCCACTGCAGAACAGTAATGGTTGCTGTCAGTTTCTTTTTCTGTTATCTTCATCCTGGAAGGATACCCTCCAGATGTCAGCCTGAGCTCTCTTTTATGAGGGGTCTCTTTGGATATACAGGGGTCAGGGAGCTGCTTGAGGAGACAGTCTGTCCCTTATAAGAGCTCAAGTGCTGAGCTGTGAGCTCCATTATTCTGTTCAGAGGTGCTGGGCAGGTACATTTAAGTCTGATGAAGCAGAACTCATAGCTGCCTTTTTTCCCCAGGTGCTCTGTCCTGGGAAGGTGGGGATTTATTTATAAGTTCCTGATGTGCTGCTGTCTTTTTTCAGAGATGCCCTGCCCAGCGAGGAGGTAGCCTAGTCACAGTCTGTCAGCAGAGGTGTTGCTGAGTTGCTGTGAGCTTTGCCTAGCTGCTGTGTGAACTTTCTTGTGGTTTTGTTTGTAGAGGTATAGTTAGAACTGCCTCTGTCATTGTGGTGCCTCAGTTATGGCAGACTGCCTCAGTAATGGCAGATTGCTTCAGTAATGGTGGACTGCCTCAGTAATAGTGGACTGCCTCGGTAGTGGTGGACTGCCTTGGTAATGACTGCCCTTCCCCCAACAGAGCTGTACCATCCTGGGTCCAGCTGTGCTTGCTGTGAAACTCTCAATCCAGAGTATTTCAGATTGCTGGTCTTTGTTGGGGTAGGATCTGCCAAGCCAGATCACCTGGCTCTCTGTTTCAGCCCCTTTTTTTTCAGTTGATTGGTGACTCTGTCTCCCACATGTTCTGGGAGCCAGTTGAAATGTCTGCCCAGATTTGTGTGAATTTTTGTGTGGAGACCCACTGTGCCAGTGCTGGAGACTTGTGTTGCTTTTCTACCTGGGAATCTCCTGGTCTGTGGGCAGTAAAAACTGGTTTGGAAATGCGGTGATCTCTCACCCTCTGCGTTCTTGCTGGGAACTGCATTCCAGAGCTGTTCCTATTTCGCCATCTTGGATCTGTTTCCTCTTTTTGTATAACTTTTTTTTTCCCTCAGAGTTCTTAATTGCTTTGATACTCCTTTTGCTTCATTTTCTGTGTATTTAGAGAAATGTATCATCAGAATGCCAAACATCTATCATATCAATATTACTTTTAGAAATGGTCAAGCATATTGGATAATCTACTAATCCTCCCTCCTGCCCTTTTCCCTAGAGACCTCCTCCTGCTCCATTATAGACTGATTTTTTTTCTAGTGTCTGATGATTTCATAATAATAAGGCTTTGATGAGGATGTTTGGTGAGGATGACACTCTATGGGCTCTTTCTAAATCTTAGGGAATTCTCTATACATTATAAGCAATTTTACATAAGCAAATTTTGAAAGTGTGTTTTTGGTATCTAATATCATAGCAGGACTTCCTTCATTTTCTGCTTAACTAGGTTTACATAGTAGCATGAAGAGAATGTTCCTGATTATGGATAAAGTACTATATCTGGATGCTTGAAATGCCTAGTGACTAAAAGTAGAATTTGCTAATATATAATTCAAATCCTGTTTCTTGACATGTATATTAACCTTAGGGTCAGTCATCTGAATTTTGAATTCCAAATAATTACTAAGAGTATATTCCCAGACAATTTCTTATATTCCTAGTGACACTTGCTAGTGTAAAAACTAGTTTTAATATAGATAAGTTAAATGTACTTAAAAAAAATTAAAACATGGCACAAAAATAGTTTTACATACTAGTATTTATTAGTTGCATTAGAAGCTTTACATAACAGTGGAGAATTAACTATACTAGTACCAATAATAACTTTTTTTTTCAGCAGTTTATATATATAGAATATTTAGTTATTTTTTACTGTGTACTTTCAGAGTAGGCCAATAGTGTTATTTTACTTTGCTGAAGTAGAACTTAAAGTCATTGAAATTCATGATTAAGTTTTCTTATGGGAACTTCTTGTTCTCAGATAATTCATCTCCCTATAAAGGAGGAATAGTCTTTTCTTAGAAAATCCACATGTAAACTATGGAAGACAGTGATTTTTTTGGGAAGTATACATTTTTTTTCCAGTGTGTTTTGCTATATTTTAATATCATTCCTTTTCAAGATTGTTGTAACTCAAATGTTGTGCTATTCAGCTGAAGTCTTGTAGAACATGGCTCTCTACTTTTATCTGATTTATTTTTATTTATTTCCTGAGAATATTGCTGGAAGAAAAAAAATGCTTTTAAATATTTAAGGTCTTGGTTGAAACACTCAGCCCTGGTAACCTTTACAAGCAGAGATTAAAAATGTATGATCAAATCATTCTCCCCAAATGCACCATGGTCTCTGGAATGCCCCTGGCCTCTGCCTAGACCTGTAGCTTTGAAGCAACGACACATCTCAGGATGCATCACCCTTCCTCTTCTGTCTTCAGCAGTATTGTCCACTGAGACTTGTAGACAGACATGGGAATGCTGAATCCCCAAGGGTAGGGGTAGTTTGCCTTGTATGCCTATTTTATTTTTCAGTTAAGGAATTGGGTGGTGGTAGAGTTCATGCTGAGGGATGGGTGGGGTCAGAGAAACACCAGCCAAATATTTTTGCAGGATTATGACATTTCCCTTACAATTCTGGATACTTTACAATGAATTATTTTTCTATTTGTATGTGTTGTGTAAGGAGCTACTTGCATTTATATTGTATTACTGGATGCTTACCAAAAATAAATGTGTTTACTCAGTCAACTGATTATGTAAACTTTTCGTTTTGTGTCATCAGTTAGAGTCCACATCATGTCTCTCTGAAGAACAGTTAAGGTGTCTTCTGGATGAATGCATAGTTAAACAAAAATCCATCGTTAAACTTTCTTCAGAAAGAGAAAATAAAGACATTGAAGATGTAACACCTGTGTTTCCCCAGCTTTCCAGATCCATCATCTCTACATTACTAAATGAATCAGAAACAAAGATCCAGAAAACTGAGGAAGAAGATGCAAATTTGCTTGCGAGTGCAGAATGTGAAGCTTCTAAAGGCTACTATCTCACTAAAGCCTTGACTGGACATCACATGTCAGAAGCTCTCATCACTGAAGCAGAGAATATGAAATGCCTTCAGTTTTCTGAGGATAACATTGTTAATGACACAAAAGACTATTTTATGTCGAAGACTCTTGGCATTGGGAGACTGAAAAGGCCCTCTTTCTTGGATGACCCACTGTATGGTATCAGTGTGAGCCTTTCATTAGAAGACCAACATCTGAAACTCAGTCCTTCAGAGAAAACAGAAACAGGTGAGGCTTGGCGAACCAGTGTTTTGGTAAATAATTCTTGAAAGCACCTCAATATAAAGGTATCATGGTTTAAATTAGAGTAGGATAAGAAGGCATATTTGTAAGTCACAGATAGCGTCAATAAGAGCATGGAGACATAAAATATATTTACCCATGTTCTTATGAAATCAAGGTTGAGGTTAGTACTCTTATGAAATATGTTATTCTTGATGGTAATTAATTCTGTCATCCAGTTAATAATGTTGGTTTCACAGGAAAAGAAATCAGTTTGAATGGAGAGAAATAATTTGAATAGATTTGCTTGGTATTTCAACTTCATACTCTGGTATTTTCAAACGTTAGTGATGAAAATTTGTCCTAAGGAATCAATTTCACATGTAAAACACCATAACTCATTGCGGTTATATTAGTTTCTATGTGCAGACGTCCTTGCCCAACCTACTGCGATGTTCAGGTATTTCATCATGATCTAGGGTTGCATCTTGCAATGGTACAGGATACAACTACAACTAGTTTTTGACACAAACAAACATTCAATTATTTATGTTAGAAATCTGTGTTACAATTGGTGAATCTGTTTAAATAGATTCAACTTTTACCTCTTACGTAGATTACTCTTAAATAGATTGGCTATTAAATTTCTATCTAGTAATCTATTTCTTATTAAATCTATAATCCATTAACTCTGAACCGAGTCAGATTTCTGTCTTGACTTCCATTTCCTCAATCACACAAGCTCAAAATTTGAGTCATCATTGAATCATCCTTCTTTCTTGCTTCCTACTTCCAGTGTTCAGGTGTTGTTTGTTCTATTCCTACGGGGTCTCTCCTGCCCATCCCTTCCTTTCTCTTCCTACAACTTCAGCGGGACCAACGGTCATGACCCTTCTTTCAGACTTCCTTGTCTTAAGTCTCTCTCCTCCTCCTGCCATTGTTGACAGCCACTTAACTAATTTCCTTAAAGCACAGCTTTGATAACCATACTTCCCAGCTCAGAAACCTTTTATGGCTCTCCACTGCCTATTGATCAAAGTCAGAATTCTTTAATTTGCTGTTCAGTGTCTCCATGGCCTTACCTGAAATTCTTTTCCTAATCAATCTCTAATTAGTCACCTAAATGTTATTCAGTGTATAGCTGGTCTAAGGATTTCCAGTGATTTCCTAGCCTTTGCTGTTGTTCAGGATGTCTTCTTCCCAGAAATGTTCAGGTACCCCTTCAATGGTAGTGATTCCAGCCTTATTATCTCTGATTGTAGCCTTCCCTCGTGCCCTCTGTTAAAACTTTTCTTTCTTCTGTTAATGTCCAAGCACTTTGGTTTTCTGTAGGATCACATACACACCTTCTCTTCCTTAAAACTGTGTAACATTTTTAAAGCAGAGATTCTATCTTGCAACTCATTGCTACATTTTCCATGATGTTTTAAGTGCTGTCTTAAGCCAAGTGCCTGTTTAATAAATACTTTAACTGTATAACCAGTTTTAGAATAAAATACTGAAAATAGGGTTCACATTCTTGACTTTGCCAATGAAAGCAGGTAATGTTGCTTAAGAATTATGTAAATCACACATTCTATATAAAGATTTGGATTTTTTGTTTCTTATGCGAAATTTCACAAGCTGTGATTTCTTACATTAATATTTTTAAAATTGGCATCATAATTGTGTACATTGTGGGTAGAGTGTGATGATTTGATGTATGTATACAATGTGAGATAAGTAAATCAAGCTAATTTACATAGCTATCACCTCACCATTTTTTTGTGGTAAGGTGATTTACATATCTGTTACCTCACTTTTTTTTGAAATTTATTCTTGTAGTTATTTTGAAACATACAATATATGATTAATGACTATAGGCTCCCTGCTGTGCAATTCATCTCAAAATTTATTCTTCCTGTTAAGAAATGCTGAGTGTATTATAGAATATAGTGTTTGCTAAGAAAAAAAGATGGCAAGGTAAACCTAGCTGCCCCTCCCTCCAAGTAGAAAACTACTTGGGGTACTCTAAAGTGGCAGGACAATATATAAATATCATACACCAGTTAAAACAATTCTTTAAGCGCCGGATATCTGGCCCTGCCCCCGTGGCTCGCTCGTGAAGAATACTTTTTAGTTGTCTGTGATCAGAAGTAAGCAGGCACCAGCTGCCTACCTGATATATTCTTGTGTTATGAGAAAATGCCAAGCATCTGTTTGTTAATAATCATCACCTGTTCAGAGAGAATAAATGAGTGGGTCAGGGTCTGCTTGATGCACTCAGACCGAATGCTGTCAGCTCCTGAGGCTCTCAGCTGGGAAGGCTGTTGGCCCCAGATAGTCCTGCTTCGCTGTTCTATCTGGGTGTCTGCTTCTCAGTTCCTTCAGCGCCACCTGGATGGGGGTCTCTACGGCCGAGCTGGTTCTCTTTTTTTTGTAGGGGTAAATATTATTCCATATTTTGTATATACCACATTTTCTTTATCCATTCATCCATTCCTGGACACTTAGGTTGATTCCATATCTTGGCTATTGTGAGTAATGCTGCAGTGAATATGGAAATACAGATAAATGCAGATATCTCTGACATATTAATTTCAATTCCTTTGGACATGTACCCAGCAGTGGAATTACTAGATCATATGATAGTTCTACTTTTAGTTTGTTTGAGGAACCTCCAACAGTTTTCCATCATGGCTGTACTTACTCCATTTCTGCTATCAGTTCCAGGGTTCCTTTTGTCCACAGCCTTGACAGAACTTATCTTTCATCTTTTTTTGTTTTTGTTTTTGAGTCGAAGTCTTTTCCTGTCACCCAGGCTGGAGTGCAGTGTGCAGTGGCATGACTTTGGCTCACTGCAACCTCCACCTCTCAGGTTCAACTGATTCTCCTACTTCAGCCTCCGAAGTAGCTGGGATTACAGGCACATGCCATCACATCTGGCTAATTTTTGTGTTTTTAGTGGAGATAGGATCTCACCATGTTGGCCAAGCTGGTCTCGAACTCCTGACCTCAAATGATCCACCTGCCTCGGCCTCCCAAAGTGCTGGGATTACAGGCATGAACCACCACACCTGGCTGCTTTCATCTTTTGATAATAGCTGTTCTAACAGTTATGAGGTAGCATCTCATTTTGGTTTTAATTTACATTTTCTTAATGATTAGTGATGCCAACTATTTTTTCATGAACCTGTTGGCCATTTTTATGTTTTGTTTTGGAAAATGTTGGTTCAGGTATTTTGCCTATTTTTAATTTTTTTTTTTCTGGCTATTGAGTTGTTTGAGTTCCTTATGTGTTTTGGATATTTACCCCTTATCAGATATGCTGTTTAAAAATATTTTCTCCCACTTCATAGATTGTCTCTTTGTTCATTGTTTTCTTTGTTGTGCAGAAGCTTTTCGGCTTGATATAATCCCATTTGTCTTTTTTTGCCTGTGCATTCAAGGTCATATTTAAAAAAAATAATTGCTCAGACCAGTGTCACCAATAAAACATAAATATGTTTTATTCTAGTAGTTTTGGGTCTTGTATTTGTCTCTTTAATCCATTTTGAGTTGATTTTTATACATGGAGTGAGATAAGGATCAAATTTTATTATTCAGTTTTCTCAACACCTTTCACCATTGTGTGTTCTTGGCATCTTTGTCAAAAATCAATTGACCATAAATGCATGAGTTTATTTCTGGGCTTTCTGTCCTGTTCTGTTGGTGAAGTATCTGTTTTTATGCCAGTACCATGTTGTTGCAATTACAATTGTGTTATACTTTGAAATCAGCGAGTGTGATACCTCCAGCTTTGCTCTTTTTGCTCAAGATTGCTTTGGCTATTCAGGGTCTATTGTGGTTCTATGTAGATTTAAGGATTTTATTTTTCATTTCTGTGAAAATGACATTGGAATTTGATAGGAATTACATTAAATCTATAGATAACTTTGGGTAGTGTGAACATTTTAATTATTAATTCTTTTAATCCATGAACATGGGACATCTTTTAATTGATTTGCATTTTCTTTATGTTCTTTCATCAGTGTTCTGTAGTTATAAATATATAGTTCTTTCACCTCCTTGGTTAAATTTACTCAAGTTTTTTTTTTTATTGGAGACAATTGTTAATGGGATTTTCTTAATTTCCCATTTGGATAGTTTGTTTTTAAATGTATGGAACTGTTCCTGATTTTTGTATGTTGATTTTATATCTTGTAACTTTACTGAATTATTTTCATCAGTTCCGACATTTTTTGGTGGAGTGTTTAGGGTTTTCTATGTATAAGATCATATCATCAGCAAAGAGAGATAATTTCCTTTCATTTCCCATTAGGGTGCTTTTTATTTGTTTCTCTTGCCTGACTCTGGCCAAGACATTAAGATGTTGAAAAAAATGTGATGAGAGTAGGCATCCTTGTGGGAAAGCTTTCTACTTTTCACTGTTGGGTATGATGTTAGTTACAGATTTATCTTATATGACCTTTATTATGTTGAAGTGCATTACCTCTAAACCTAATGTGTTGAGAATTTTTATCATGAAATGGTGTTGAATTTTGTCAAATGCTTTCTTTGCATGTATTGAGATTATCATAAGGTTTTTATCCTTCATTTTATCATTAATGATATACATTATGGTGTATCCCACTTATTAATTTGCATTTGTTGAACCCTCCTTGCATCCCAGGGATAAATCCCACTTGATCATGTGAATGATTCTTTTAATTGCGTTTGAATTTGGTTTGCTGGTATTTTGTGGAGGATTTTCACATCCATATTTATCAGTGATAATGGCCTGTATTTTTTTTTTCTTGTAGTATTCTTGTCTGGCTTTGGTATCAAGGTAATTCTGGCCTTGTACAATGAGTTTGGAAGTCTTTCTCCTGCTTCAATTTTTTGGAAGAATTTGAGAAGCACTGATATTAGTTCTTCTTTAAATGTTTGGTATAATTCAGCAGTGAAGCCATCTGGCCCTGGGACTTTTTTAGATAGGAGGCTTTTTATTACTGAGTCAATCTTCTTGCTCATGAGAGGTCTCATGA